ATTTTCTTTGTCCAAGATATATAATAGTTTACTTAAGTATTCAGTGCTAGTAAATGTGGTGCACGTCCAAATGATTCTACAGTTGTCAACGGCGCAGTGCGTATCTTATTTATCCAACATCCTGACTTCAAAAAATCTTTTAGGATATTCACTAACTATGATTCTATTTATTTAGCTATTTTGATGAAATTCACAGCCTACATTAATAAATTTTGTTACAAGTAAAGACTTGTAACATTTATTAATGCTTACAACTGATATTTGAAAGAGTATATTTACGAAAGAACATAAGTATAGGTGAGTATTTAAAGAACGTTTAAAAGAAATTTATAATTTAAAAGATATTTGTTCTAAAAGCAGTTTGATTTGGAACTGCGTATGAAATGAACATTAGCTTTCAAAGCCAACTTCTATTATATCACCGATGTAGTTTAAAACCGACTTTCTAGCAATGCATGGATCCTAGTGTAGGTCAAGTTACTCTTCACAGTTGCTAAAAACTTTATTTCTAGAGGCTTACGGCGATGGCTAACTCCATAATTAAAAACAAGGATATATATTGTAATCATCTTTTCCATGATAATGATGATAGCGCTTTAAGAACAACAATTACGTAATTGCTTATAAATGAAACTGAAAGGCGCTCAAATGCAATATTACGTGTCCTCCGAAATTATGTTGTTTATCTTGTGATCTTTTATTAAAATATACTCATTTTATCGTCTGCATTTTTCAACGATAATACTTTCTTTGTTTATATTTCGTCTTTCGGATCAGAACACAAGGCAAATAGAGAAAAAAAATACGAATTTGGAGCCAGTTTCGTACTTTTTCTCTATTTGCATATGGGAAATAGGAACGAAACATGTAAAGACCGTTGTTGTTCTGCACTAGTAGGAAAAAACATGTGAAATAATTTGTAATATATTTACAATTCCAGAGCCAAAAAAATCGATATAATAGTTGCTTTATAAACGAGCATATTCTAATATAAAGTAATCTCTTCAAAATAAATATTACTCAGACTTGAAATATTACCTAATAACGGCGTTTGAAACAAGCAAACAAATATACTTCGAAAACTGGAAATTCAATTAAGTAAAAAAAAAAAATAAATAAAAAAAAAAATAAAATAAAAAAAAAAAATTCAAATTTCAACGCCCGTGATTCTAAAATAATAAATACTACATAAAACCTTATGATACTTTCAAATGTGATGAGCACGTACAAACAGCAAAACACAGCGCATATACAGCAAGCATGTAAAGCAATGATATTTCACTAATCAAAGATTATGTCTTGTTCGATATGTTGGAGGCGTATGACTACATATGAAGACCAAATTTCCTACTTTCGAGAAAAGGCAGCATCATAAAAGAAATAAAATACTAAGATCTGCAAGAATTCTTGCCACAAACTGAGTTTTATTGGTACAACATCGTACCAAATTACTGCAAACGTTTTTAAAGGCTATAAAATCATTATTTATGCATGTCCCAAAACATACAAAGACACCCCGTCGTATAATAACTATACACTTGGCCTCGTGGGATTCGATGCAGGGAGAACACCAATCGGTTGGTGGCTTTTGAAGCAATTACTCTAATTTCCGGGAGGTGTCCCCATTTTAGTGGGCCCCAGGTGATGCCCAGTATCCCAGGGGTCCCAACCCACCGCCAGTTCTTAATGGAAATGAGGTTAGATTTCAGCTTCCTTCCATTTCCAACATGAAAGCAATACAGCGGTTAACATGAAAGTTCTTCCACCTTCTGTATAAACATGGTGAGGGTAGAAATGCCAGAAGGCATCAATAACATTGAGTAGGAAGGAATAAAACCAACTTCAGTGAAAATAAGAATATAAATTAGCAACCACCTTCAAAAGCTATTTCAGAAACGCATCTCCTTACTCTGCGTGTTTTTTTATTAAATTAGCTTTTTAGCTTTCCTAAAATTGGAGATGGAGAACTAAATCGGAATGTTAATCACATTAGCTTGAGAGCGAAAGAAATTACTTAAAAGGGAATAGCACAAGTCTCCATGGAAAATATCACATAGTTAAGATTCTTTCCAACAAATTTGGCTAGATAATTTTTCTACATAAAAAAAATAAAAGAAGTGTACTTACATAGGTAATAATTTTTCTAGATTTACTTTTATAACTGGCACTGTTGTTTTGTCTAAGAACATTCCTTTGTGTCAACTTAATTCTATAAATTCTAAATTCAGTTCTTTTCAGCCGTTCTAATACATATTAACACCGTGATAATACATATTATATTACGGTGTTAATATGTATAAGAATTGTAATATTATAATAATATTAGACATTATTTGCAATAAGAATATAATATTATATCACAAAGTTAGAATATATGTTAACAGTGTGATAATTATGATTTTCGTCATAAAAATGTAATACTTTTGATCTTTTAAATCTAAGCATTTATTGACTTGTTAGAAAACAAATTTAAAATTAATTATATAATCAGACACAATCAAATAATCCCAATCCTAATGCATTCATATAATGAAAGTCATGAACTATTAGAGTTTCACTGCTTTAACGGTAATCGGTAAAACAGTGGAAACCTGTTTAGTGATTAATGTCCTCACTGCATGCAGGTTTTGTAGCTTTTACAGACTACCACGCAAACACAAGACAGAAAATTCTCCACGAAGGTTACTGGAGCTGAGAACAATATATAAGGTATTTTTTCCACTTTCCTAGCGTCCTTCGTGGTGTAGTGGTTCTGCACGTTGGGCCGGTATTCCAGAGGTCCGTGGTTCGATTCCCGGCGAAGGCGGTTGCTAATTTTTCATCATTTCTGCTTCTAATTTACCTAATGACTCTACAGTGGCGCCCGAAATAAAAGGGTTGTGGATGATGATTCTCCACGCCGAGGATTTACGACTAGGTCCCCTGAAACCCTAGTCACCCTTTAAAAAGGGAAGTATATAAGGTATTTCTCCCACTTTCCTAGCGTCCTTCGTAGTGTAGTGGTTCTGTACGCTGGGCCGGTATTTCAGAAATCCGTAGTTCGATTCCCGGCGAAGACGGCTACTAATTTTTCATCTTTTCAGCTTCCAATTAACCTAATGACTCTACAAACGTTGCCCTCTTAATAGACCAAAAGAATTCTATTGACTTATCCAACTCTTTAGGAAGGAAGCCCTTTTGTATTCTGCCTTAATTAATAATTTATCTCTTTTATATTCAAAAAACATTTTGGATAAAAAAAATAAACTAGAAAGCAACTAGAAAATACTTCTATAAGAATTTGACTTGTGAAACACCTCGAAAAATTAAATTATCATTAATTCACAGCGATTATAAAAGTATAAAATACCAATTATTAAATCTCAGGTATAAACTATAATATAAGAAATAACAGTTTAATTTATAAGGTTAATTTTGACACTCAGGAACAGCAAGCAGATGACATCTGATACTGTATAGATATCAGGTATTGAATTATATCATCTGTTTCATAACAGATATTTTCAATCAAAGGTGAGTTTAAAGAGCAAAAAATTAAGCCGAAAATAAAGGTACTGAAAAACCTCCATGACTGCTTAAATTTATCAGAACCTAACATTTTGGAAGACGGGAGCGAATATTTCTGCATGCAATCAGATGTACGAAACAATCAATACATATTATGCAGTAGCACATAGTACACTGTCATTATTTTAATTACCAGCCTGTGGCTTAATGGGTAAGATGGCGGAACACTGGTAGTCTAGCCTTTTTAATTCATATAATTAAAAAAAAAACAATATTTTTTTAGAAATTCGTATTAGCTAAATCCCAATGTTTCGGCAACCTAAATTATTCTTAACCCTGAAAAACATTAAGCCTCTAACATTAAATCCCAAAACTATTATCTCTTAACAATTTGAATTCCAAATCCTTTCGTTTTAACAAGCTAATTACATGCTTAAATGATTCGGCTTTCTAACTCTTCCTCTGCCCCCATCATCAATGAACTACTGCAATACTCAAAAGACGAACAGATTCCGGGTATTATCGGAGACGCACATGTAATTCCGAACTGCTTAAAATTCACGAAATACATGGCTTGGCTGGACGCTGGAATTATTATTCCTGGCAGCATGACTGCGCCGAGGTGCAATATTGCACAATAACATCCCGAACGCTAGCATAAAGCGTGGGATGTGGTGGGCTACAGAGACAAGGTAATTGGATAAAAGGAAACACTGAGTACCTACCGCGACGTCTATAGAATCCGATGTACTGAGATGAGTTTTAGAACTGAGCGCCTTTTGAATAAAGCATTTTCATATTCTTATAATCTGAACATAACATAGCTGAACTGCTACCCTAGACGCAAAGTTTGATAAACATCTATTTCCATTTTAGCTGGTGACTTTAAGGTTAATAATTCTACCTCGATAAACTGACACAATAGATGTATATATATAGTTCTAGAATGGATGAATAAGATAAAGGCCGGTGAAGTATTAATGCACTAACGGTCTTTTACTGAATGATGAGTTTGGGATTCCCTTTTGAATAGGAACTGCATTAGAAAATGACTATTCGGGATCTGGGTTTGAAATTAAACATTGTGAAGTTACAATTAATTCGTCCTATGAAATACCGATGGTAATCAATTTCGTTCTAATTTTACCGGAGAAATGGGATTAATCAGTATCATTTGGAACTGAAGAAAAGTTTAAAATGTAAGGCTTTCTTTATTATAACTGTGCTTTATGACTTTTTTATTAATTTAAATAAACTTATTCGTTATTTGTTTATATTCATTGTTTTTATTTTAATTTTATTCTGCAAAAGCGTTTCTAAAGAAGATTTGATAATTGTGCATAATAAATAATTGTATGCAGTTGTTGATTATAAAATGTAGCTAAATTTATGTTATGAACCTTGCAGAAAAGTACATTATTCAAGAAAAATACAGAAACAGCGAAATGACAGCAAATGATTTTTTAAAAAGAGCAAAATATCATAAAAAGTACCTGTTCCGCCTCCTGGACATCTATGTAGAGCCATGTGTCCAGCCCGTGTCCAGTTCCAAAACAGCCCTCGAGCTTCTGTTGGAGAGCAGGATAACGTAGGCTGGTCGTCTTCGTGATTATCCGGACTATAGCGACTCAAATGGACGGTTGATGGTTCTGCAAAACAAACATCAAAAGTTTGATATCCTTCATTGATTAGAAATACATAAGTTTATCACATATAATATTTTTACACTGACTTCTGACCAATCTTAAGAAATGACCAGCTATCGTAATCATTGTACATGCCATTCGTCATGCATTAATTAAGCTTAACTTCTTTTCTAAGAACTTATGCAATGCATTACATTTAAGCGTGGCTCTAAAAATTCCTAAAGAAACCAGTGATCGTAATAGAAACAGCATGACGCAAATTATGTAAATAAGAATAAACTCCAAAATTGTAAGAAGACTTATGCTCAAAAAAGTAATTTAATGAAAATTACGTACTATTGCTTATACAGTTTCAAATGCTAATACGATTAATATATATCATTCATACTTATATAAAAAAATAGGTTAAGTTGTTTTCTGCGATGATCCAAAAGTGGATTTGTATCAATATCCTGAAACGTGAAGTTTTGAAGATTGATATCTTACTACGATTGGTATGACATAAACATATCGCATTCTATTAGGCGATCATATTATATTGCAGAGTTATCAGAGACACTTAATTTAATGAATGCCTAGATGTGCTTAGCAGCACCAAATTCATATTTAAAATTACATTTTTATTAATTTATACTTCTTTATAAATCATTTAACCCATTTCCGACCACCTGACCTTGTATATTCAAATTTTCAGCAAGATTTTTAAATCATGCATAAAAATAGTACGGAAGGCACTGTTAAAACATATTCATGTTTTCAGGCTTATGGAAAAAACGGTAGCAGGCGCGATTGGATCAAAGATGTTTAGATGGTTAAGACACAATAACACGCCGAATAAATACTAATTCAGAAGTCAAACAACACAAATCAGCTGCAAACCGCAAATGAATGGCCATTCATTTGCGGTTTTGCAGCTGAGGATGGTGGTTCGGTAAAACCATCGAAACTAGTCCTGTGAAAATTTTGTAAATATAACGCTGATTCGTGTTGTTTGACTTCTGAATTAATGTTTAGATGGCTTCATCGCTGTTTTTTTTTTTTTTTTTTTCTGAAATAACACAGCAGATACATTGATGTTAAAAATGGTAAAGAAGCCAGTAGAGGCTAAGTAAATGATCCTCCTTTCAACTGGCGACCGCTCTGCATGTAATCTAGCGTTAATTTTGTGCATTTTAAGAAAGATTCATATTTTTCCTTTTAAAGGATATTGTAGAAGACATTAAATGTCTCAAAACTTCAAGCCCCATAGAGATGTATTTATATTAAGAAGCTGATGTTGAGCTGTCTGCACGAAGATCAAACATGAAAGTTTGTGGCAACCCAGCATAATTATGCCTTCTATTTATTATCGTATTACCTTTAAGATGACTTGAGCTAATATCAATCAACATTTTGATATAACTTCCTTTCACCCCTATAGCGTTGCCAAGTACAAGCTGATGAGTTAGCACGTTCTGCCGATGCTGATGAAAAAGTGGATACAGGTAATTAAGTAATTACTAGAAAAAGTGCTTTTTTTTTTACCGACACACGAGCGAAAAAAGATGCGTAGCTGTTTGTCTCTTAATGGCAAAACCAGCAGAAAATTTAGCCAGTTTAGAATTTATCCAACAAAATTTTGGGGGTAGCACTTTGACTTTCCTCACGTGGAGTCAGGCAATTAAACGCTGCAGACAACTACAGGGTTGCCAAGAGTCGGAAAATTGTTTCAGCTAGTAAATTACTAGAGTTTTAAAATTAATGAAGTTAACAATTTGAAAACTGAGAGCAAATTAGATTACAAAAAATGTGCAACTGGTAACTTCTCCCGAATTTGCTATCGTAATCGGTAGCTTTTCATAGGAGAAAATCCACGTCATTCAGTCTACGGAGAAATCGATAGAAAAATTGTTCGAAACAGCTGGTTGCATCAAATAGTCTGCTTATGGGATAAGTTCCTCAAAATTTTGGTTCAGACTGAGAAGATTTAAGATTTGCATCAATTGGTGAAAACGATTCGCCAAGCATTTCGCCAGATTTACCTTGGCGTAGATAAAACGTGTGTTACGGGAAAGGTAGGATCGACTGAACAGGTGTGTTGTGGACAAAAAGAATATCATTTTCAAGAAATTTTATAAAGTAATTGTTGTACTAGACTTAGGGAACACCATGTGTATAAATATTCCGTGACTATCAAACAGAATTCTGATTAGATACTTAATTCAAAAGACAAGAAACCGATAATAACCCCAATGAATACTTTATGAAACTTCTAAACTCTATTCCTCAACATATATTTTCCGAAATGATCTGAATTAAACATTTTTTTATTCTGCATCCAAATAATAAATTACAATCATTTCGTTCATTTTATATCCATAAGGAAGTCAGAGACATCCAAAAAGTATTATTATATCATAAAAAAGAAAAGATAAAAAAATATATATATGAGTCAATACCCATTAATGCCATGAACATTTTAAAGTCATCAGGTCTTCCGTCGCTATATTCCTAACTTCCCAATTTGTCGCAGAATTGAGTCTAAAATTCATTCCAAACTCAGTTCATCGCAAGTACTAATAAAATATTAGCGTTTTCGCCATTCAAATTGACATTCGAAATTCATTAAACATCGGTCGCAGACCATTAGAAATGAGTAATATTATTACGAAAAGCCCTCAGAACGACCTACCCTCAATAATAAAATCTGAATAAATACCGGAACGATATTGGTATTTAATAAATGATGCGATAAACGCATTAAAAAAATACAAGAATATTTTATTTAATGGACTTGCCGTAGTAAAAAAAAGAGGGAGGGAAGATTGGCTGGAATAAGGAAGAGTGTTTGACGTAATTTTTCATTCGTCATTCCTAGTATGTTATTAGGACACTTTTAAATAAAAAATTTCAGAACGTTAAGTAAGTAAAATGTTTATTATTGCAAAGCTTAATGTAATGTTGCAAAATAGCAGCAATTTGATTTAAATGGCAATGAAGGGTAAGTATATTCTGGAAACGTTTAAATGTGAAAATGAACAGATTGCGAAACAAAAATGTAATGATATACAAGTAATTCAGTGCATGTGGATAAAATTAAATTACAATTAGGAATTAAAAGCCAAATTACAATTAGGAATTAAAAGCCAAATTACAATTAGGAATTAAAAGAATTGGTACTAACTAAAAGTTAGTAGTCTTTCCACATTTACATCTCACATACCCCCCTTCAAACAGAAAAAGATCTGGTAATGGAAAAGACTTTTCTTTTTTTTTTAAAGAAAAGCATTAGAGCGTTAGCAAATGAAATAAATTTTGTATGCATGTGAGATATAAAATACGACAGAAAAATACTAAATTTAGCAATAGTCCTTTTTAATTCCTCATTTTTATTTGGCTACGTCCCCTTCTTATTTGCGTTGTCTGAAAACTTGTGTGTCTTTTTGTTGAATGGGACCAAAAATAAACTTTCAGTTTTGTGCACTGAAAATAAAAATCTGCCTTCCGTCCACTGGCCGAATTGCTTGTTTTTTGCGTAGAAACTGTAACTTTAATTCCAAAATTTTTTTATTGTTTTGAACTGTATTTTTTATGTACTGGTGTTTCGTGTTCTTCTGCATTTTAGTACAATATTTAAAGAAGATGTTTTGAGATTTCATGTATCGCGAAGTGAGAACTGAATTAATTGAATGAGAAACAGATCTCCACTGAAATTTGGAGAAATTATTTTAAATGAAATGCAGCAAAAGATGTGTATAATTTAATAGGCTGGTACAAGGAAATCGTGTGGTTGAAACGATACTTTTATAAACTGAAAAAAAATTGAAAATAAAAAGTATAAAACTTAACATTCCATATTATGAAAACAATATCTGATTTCATATTTAAAAAAAACCTTCCCCCCCCCAACGAACATTAAAAAATCTACTATGACAAAGCCATGAGTCAAATCTCAGCATCTACAACCAAATTTCTGAAAAGAAAATGGATAAGAGACCTATATAGGAAATATATCATTTTCCACATATTTCAACAGTCTCTTGATACGAGAGAGATAGACTACTTATCTTCGGGACTGCTTTAAAAAGGGCACTTCTACACGTCGACCAATGATAATTGACGGACACAGCCATAGGGACATGAAAATATTCCCATGGTTAAAAGTACGAAATGGCCTTTTATCATAGAAATCAGGATGCAGTTTTATAAGTAAAAGAAAGGGCTAACAAAAGAACTTAACAAAATAATATTTGTGTTTTAATGTATAGCTTATCTATATTTGCAATCGTTTAAAGAATATGCAAACACATTCTGCGTAATAGGTTTTGAATACAAGAAATAAATGCGATGTTTACATATATATACATACAATGTAAGGCGATTATATGACAATTTTCGCTGAGTTATTATCTTTTAAAAATTTTAAAAACACAATTCATTTTGTATAAACTGAGGTTGATAATTATTCTCTTATTGCAAACTCGTGCAACTGAAATTTAAAATTCAGAAAAAAAAAGTTAAGATAGCTCTTTACAAACATAGGTAATTCATTTTCATCGTAAAAAATTAATTTTAATAGCAAGTGACTCTAATTATCATTTGGTGGACATAACTGAGTTCCAGAAACGAAACAGCTGATGATCATCAACAAGGCAATATAACTCTAAGAATATTTTACGACAAACGCAATCCGGGAAAAGTCCGATAAGACGAGATGGCAAGCTTAAAATATCAGATAAACATCACATATAAGATAACTTCGTCGGTTTATGTCACTCTTCCAGCCCATAAAAAATGTACTATCCAAACAACTGTAATAAAAGTTAATACTCTTTCTGTCATTTTTATACGCCGTATATAATCCCTTACAGAGTATACGTTAAATACATTATCACTATCTTTCCGGTCCTTCAAGTGTTATAGCATCAACACACTTACGGCATTGTGGGGACACTCTTATCCTTAATTTGATAGAGATGATCCATTCGATACAGTATCTCTCACTCTGTCGATAGATAAGACAG